TGACATGGACGGCCGGGATTGACTGTAGCAAGCCTTATGGTTACCTAACTGTGTGTCCCCACCACTCTTGCCATCTGAGCTGCTCCGCCCCCTGACGTAGCCACAGAATGGCCTTGACCTGCGCGTCCGAGCACTCCGAGGAGAGGTTCTCGGCGCGACCCAGCTTGAAGGTGAGCCATCCAGGTGTATCTCTCGACCAGGAGGTGCACCTGAGAGGTAAATGTGGTCGTTGCATGACAGAGACCAAGAAAGAGGTGAGTCATAGGCATCATAGTGGCATCATAGGCCCTATTTATGGACATATATTGGACCCCTATCCGACCCAGCCCCAACTCCCAACTCACCAATGCTGCAAAGATAGGCAAAACTGGATAAAACTGGTAGCTCACCGTGTCCATTGGTTACGACATCTTTCGACCACCCTGTTTGGTTTTCGATCACTCCATCATGCTCCATCTGAGTGTCATCCTTTTCTATAGTAGGTTTAGCTGAGTTGGGAGCTTTTCCTGTGTAGTTCATGATTCATGACAAATAATGTTCGTCCGACATCCTTTAGGGGTGATCACCCAAGGTTACGGTTAAAGTTCTTAGCCTAATGGACATCTACCAAGACTTGCTACAGTCAAATGTCAGATTTTAATGCCAAAATTCGGGCCCAAACACCTCTCGCCTCTCACCACCCACCCTCCCCCCTCACCCACCCGACCCTCACCCCTCACCGATTGCCCGACACGAAGCACTGGGCCACCCGACACCACCGCCACCGCCTTCGGGTCCACCTCGGTGGTGAGGAGCTTTCGCCCGTCGCTCCGCGGAGACGTCGTGGTGGCCAAGAGCCGCACCACCTGGGCCGAAAGCGAGGCGGACGGAGCCACTGGGATGGAGGTATGACGAAGGGAGCCTCAGTCACTCATGTAAAAACGAAGGAACCGAGGCGGAAGGTGGACTGCCAATCGCTGGCCGGAACTGTCCAGGAAGCACCCCAAGCATAAAACAACTTTTGTCAGAGACGTGGCTTACTGATTTACCTAATCATTCATGTAGGCGTGAGCTTACAAAGGAAGCACATCACCTGTTGGACTCCAAGCAATCAGAAGAAATCCAATGAGAGGAGCACGGGGTACCGCATGGAGTGACAGGCGGCTGCCCAATCCGAAACAATTTGCAACATCATGAAACAACTAAACACCCTCACAAACTGACACATCACTCACATCACTCTGACACTATATTGCTTCATGATCCAAGCACAGGGGAGTTGCCAACACATTGAGGAAGAAATGGAAAGAACCGCACCAATTGCCACACGAATCGACAAGCAAAAAGAACTCGATCTTGTCAGTTCAAGCACCCGCAACTCGCTTTGGTTGTTGGGTTGGCATGGCATAAAGGCCTGGCCGCAACGGTGCGCAGCGAGCGACTCGAGCGACCTTCCGGGTGCAAAACTTCGATCGTCTGAGATCCTTTGATTGACGTCAGTGAAGACATGTGAAGACATGTGAGGCCTATGGCACGTCCCAGGCATCTGTTCAATCACTGAGTGTTCTTCTTCCTGGGCCTCTCCCAAGAATGTATCAGCTTGCCAGAATTCTAGGAGAAGCTCACAAACCTTGGTGGGCATAAGGCATATTCCAAGTGTGGCTCAAAATGGATGCCCCCCAAAGAACCAGTTCTAAAGGAAAACCATCATGTTAGATGTATCAGTGTGATCTCCACTGATCATCCCCATCTGCAAACACAGAACTATGAAACTGTGCATGTCTGACCGGTCATCAAAACCAGCTTCCGCTAAGGGCGGAGTGTCCTCTTCTCCCGAAACACAGCGAGTCAGGGCCCCTGGTTCTGGGAAACACACAACAATAACACCAGGGCTTCCCTGAAAATTGCAAAGAAGGTGCTAAAGGCCCTGCGGCCATCTTCTCCGCCATCTTGCTGGCCAAGTCCACGAAGGGGTTGCCTTTCCTGAGACTGCTTCAGTTTCCATGAAACGGTTAGGCCTAAACGACAAACAAAAGCATCACTCGCTGGGAGAGTTGTAATGCCTTAAGGGTTTTCGTGGGTTTCCTCAACAATCCAAATCGTCCTGCGAACAAGTGATCGCCAGTCATGCTGATGCCCGCCATAATCGTTGCCCAATAATGCCACATGTTCTCCTTTCTATATAGCTCTACATGTTCTGCTAATCAAGGAGTAACTAGTTGGTGTTTTCAACCCACTTCCAATCATCCCCAAGTAAGGGTTGAAAATATAAACATCCGAAACCATCACCTAGATAAAGGATGGTGCGTTTTGTGAAATCCTTCGTGGCACGGCTCGGTTTGCACTTCACTGGTGCCCCCAGCTTCGGCACATCGAAGGCCTTCTGCTCGCGCCAAACCACCCGCGGCGTCGGCCCCGTGCTGCTGGTGCTACACCGGAAGCGTCGGGCACCGCGCTCGGTGCAAAGGGAGATGGCCCAGCAGCCTCGGAAGGTGGCTGATCGGCAGACGGCTGAGCAGGCACCGAGATAGGGCACTTTGGATTGCCACAGCAGTACACTGCCATCAAAACACATATAGCTACGTCTATGTGTGCTTACTGCACCAGGTCCAAGATGGTCCAAGCTATTCACTTGGAACTTGGATGTGTTGAAATGTCTTGAAGCCAGGACGCCGTGGAGTACAATCTGACCTTGCAAATCAAAGACGAACTCCTCAGTGCCGCACTCACAAACAGCAACCAGCTCCACCAGTAGCTTCCGGGAGTAGGTTTGGTAGTTCACTAATTAATATATAGGGACAAGGGATGGACAAGGCCTATCCGTTACTATCCATCTATTGGTATTATATAGATGCAATTGGGATGCAAGTGGGCATGCCATCAAAGTTCGTCAACATGGTTCACTGATAATTTTAAGGTCTTCACGCAAAGCACGTCACATCAAACTTGAGCATGAAACTCCCCAACGACATGTCTTAGCATTCTTAGCTATTATTCTTTGAGTACGGGGCTTTAGGGCCATGAAGTGGCCGCTGCTGACGCACTCCAAAAGCATGTGCCGCCATTTAACACATGTCATGGTGGCATGCTGAGCCGAGAGTCTAGCATCATCCCATCCAAATCCAGATTGTGGTACTGATGCGCGAAGCGCACGATGCCCAGAGTTTTGGATTCGATCGCCTGCCGGTAGGGCGTCTCCAGCTCCACCGGCCCGTCTGGACTGGTCTCTTCCAAGGCTGTGGTGGATGGCTGGTACACCTTGGCCAACCCCAAAGACACGCAAACGGAGGCCTCAAGTCATTCACCACACTCCGAGTCCTCCACTTTGCCCAAGACAAAAAATGCAAATATATAGAATGAATCTGAATGAATGCATCGTTTCTTTTCCCCAATTGGCACGATGATTTGCCCAGGCACCGGCCGAAAGCGATGCGAGAAGATGTCGCTCCGTTCCTCCAGGTGCGCATCGCAGCTATAGACCGAGATAATGCGAATCCCATAGCGGGGCTCAACATAGCTTTGCAAGGTCCAAAGCTCCGATAATGTGCCAGAGTCCATGCATGGAACCTCTTCCTTCGCCACCTGAGGGAGGCAAAATGGCGAAACTGTTGGTGTTTCTTCTCAAATTGGCCGATCTCAATTCCTACAGGCTTTCCGTTTCTGTGAGCATAGTGGCACGGGTGGAAATATAGTTGGCCATTAGTCCGTTGTGGGAAGAGTATCTAAATCAAAAGCGCCCGTCACTGCGGAAAGCTCCGCTGCTCACAGGGCGCGCTCAGGGATGCTCTCTACAGCGTGCTGTGTGCAATGTGGGTGCGTGCTCGGTGCACCCAATTGGAACCATCTACATCAAGTCGGATCGAACAATCCCTGAAAACGACGACGGTTTTGCCCCGCAAAACCACCCGTTGGAGTCCAAAGTGGATCTGTTTTCCCGGTGTGGTGGACATCGTGAAGCAGAAGTTTTCGGCAAGCTTCACCGGGGAAGCACTGAACCGCCCACCTGCTCCAGCAGCTCTGCCGTTTGAGCCAAGGACAAGATCTCAGTGACCTGGCCTCCGATGGGGGTGCCCTCTCGGGCCTTCCCTCCACTCTCGTATCGCAGGATGGCCGCTGGGGCACTGGGCCCCAAGGCCAAGGTGCCTAGCTGCTTCAGGAAGCCAGCGATGCTCGGAGAACTTCGCAAGGTCACTAAGCCGTTCTCGTTGTTTTGGTACCAGGCCTCTAGTGTGCAACCATGAAATAAGGCCTCAGGGCGGCACAACGGATAGAAACTTATAGACTTAGGTCAACTGTGCACAATGGGGCACCAACACCTGCCACAGATTGCAAGCCTCATCCTCCCGAACCCTGAAAGGGGAAAGGACAACCAGCACTTCAATGAGTTCTTTCCTCGACAAGGCTCAACCTCCGGAATGCGTTGCTTTAAAAGTACACCACTGCCGCTGTCATTGCAGGTGCAGCTCCAAAAACTGAGCTCCATGGACTAATTGACCAACAGAGCCAACACATGGCTGCGCAAATAGTCCAAGGGTGAAATCGCAATGTTTTGTTTGCTCAAAAACACACTTGACTAGTCAGATCCGAATCCAAAGGGTGGGAAGATTGAAACGCCCAAACAATGGAAAATGCAGCACCAAACTGAACAAAATGCACAAACATGTTTGGCTCTTGCCTGTGTTGGATAGGTTTATGTTCAGTTCAGTTCTGTGCAACTGCAACTAACCTCCTCCATCTCATGTGAGCGGAGCTGGCATCATCATTCCTGGTATATGTTACCTGCCCATTTTCCATCGCCAAGAAACCCAAGCAACAATCAAGTTTGACCTGCAAGGAAACCCAGTTGCCAAACGCCCACTCACTAATACGCAAGTGGAAAAGGGCCCCTGGGAACATGTGTTTGGTTCTCAGCTTCCACTTCCACCCCAGTCAGACTATAAGGAGAGCAAACCCATGTCTCTTAACAAGAAGAATATCTTAGATTAGATGCCCTTACCAGCTAGAGCATTTGAGGCGCCAACTCGTTCGGATGCCGCATGCTGGTCCTGTGACAGGCTAAGCAAGCAGCATCGAAATGAACAAAAGGCAACCAGGCAAGCAACTCTCGAAGTTGGTTGCTGGATGTTGCTGGTCAATGGATGACACCAGATACAACCAATCAATCACTGGCGCTAGCAACTCTCAAGCACGGATCCGTTCAGCATCAACAGGCGCAAGTCTTCAGCAGCCGGTCGGATCCGGGTCGCATTCGCGGACGGCACTCTGAGGTGCCACACAATGATGAGCAACACACCGCCAGGATGTTCTCCTCAGAATTTCATGGCATTCTGCCGGTGTTGCCCACACAGAATGTCCGTTCCAAGTGCACTGCGGCCCTGACAGTAGGCCTTCGCCCACGCGTTTTCCCCAACCGACCAGGAGACTAGAACCGAGCTTCTGCATGCCTTTGCGGACCTAAAGTGTGACCATCTCAGGACACGACCGCCCTAAATCAGAGAATTAGGACCCCTGAAGATCCTGTCCACTCTCTCCGCGCTGGATCTTCGCCGAGAGTCCACCCAAATCACCTTCTGACCTCATCACGATGAACTTCTCCTGGACCTGTTGATGGGAACATGAACTTCACATACTGCCCGGGGTCTCCACCAAACATACCTTGACTTCAGCAAGTCAGTATTGACTCTTGACCTTATATCATGCTGGATGGGCACTAGTGGCTAACCGCCGTTTGACGGCAACGGGCCCTCCATTAGAAGCGCGTGTGGTCGGGCTTCGGCCCTCAAACAGTTGAATGCTGAGAGTCCTATATATATATATATGCACAATAATATATATATATATATGTGTGTGTTGTACATCTCGTAAACCACATGTTGCCTATCTATAATACAGTTCCTGGAGAATAGTCTCAAAGCATCTTGATAGCATCTTGAAGTAAAACGGTCAAAACTTGAAAGGTACCAGCTGAAGTGAAGAATGCAGCAAAAGGGATGATCTGGTTAGGACATTGGTCACTGTAGCTTTTGACAGCTCCCCCAAATAAAAAATGACCGCCCGGCAAAAAAAGATAAAAACACCTCTTTTGTGACATTGTTCTTGTGCAACGTTCACTGCAGGCGACTGGGTTGAAACAAGCACACAGCAATAAGGAATTCTTTGGTCAAAGCTCCAGAGACACATTACTACAACGCACGTAAACTTGGCGTAGATCAAGTATCATGTCAGCTTGTCGTCACTGTAGTCATCAAAGAAGAGGGTGCTGCTGCTCCATCGAGCTGTCGGGCAAGGTTCGTAATTTCCGCACAGGTCCTCATATGGAAACAATAAAAGCCCGTTCGGCCAGTCTATCTCCTTGCAGCGGACATGAGTATGAGGGTTAGTATGACCTACAACTCCTGCAGGTCTGGATGATGGATGGCTTACAAAAACTACAAAAACGTAGCCAAATAGTGATACTGTTTACTCACTTCACAATAATTATGAAAACTAGATAAACCCACTCATTTTCCCCAAGGCTCTCGCTGAGGTGATAAACCATGTCCCGCACGCGCTGTAGCTGCTCGGAGGTCGTGTCGATGGCCTTGCGCTGGTTGTACCTGAGCCCCGAGGCCAATGGCCGCCCCGAGGCACCGTATGGCATCGTGGATCAGGGCGGAAACAGGGCGAACGCCGATCCCCACCCCATGGCAAACTGTCTCAACCCACGATTGGGTGGGAAATTATGAATGATAAATGGTTACTTGATGCTACTTGTAGAAGTTCCATGGTTCTATGATGTTCCATGTCACTTCGCGAATGCGTGAATTGAAGGTTCATTCTCATCCGTAAGCCCCACTTTTTGGGACGATTGCAGCCCACACCAGTGGTTCAGCTCACACCCCACCGCCTTCGGTCCAAGTCTCTGCCGCTTTTCAAGCTCTTGCATCTCTTCGCCCAGGATGGTGGCAATGCCATCAGCCATCTCATTCGAGTGCTCTTGCGTCAGGGCCTTCCTTGGTGGGCCACCAGGTTCAGTCGTAAACCGCGTGTTGGACGCGCATCCCACTATCAGGAAGGATGGGAATCATGAAATTAGCCACCTAGCACGCACGCCTATAGACACAAGTCAAGTGTTGTTCCCAACACATCAAAGGCCAATTTTTCGATTTACAGCCTTGCTGAGGGCACTTGTCTGTGCTGCAGCCTAATTCATATCCAATATGTAGTTCTTCTTACAACAGAAAATTTGCACATCTACACTAACAGGGTCATCTAGAAAAACCTTCCAGTCCTCTAGATTGATTGGATGTGATTGGGTTCTCTCTGCCAGTCGCGCCCCAAACGCCTTCCGCGCGTTCCTGCCCGGCGACACCTTCTCAATGGCCACGTCCGCGCTGGACGTGGCCTCCGTGGCGTCGGTGCCGGCGACGGAGGAGGAGGCGGCCACGGGCATGTCGCGGCCCTCGGCCTTCGCCAGCTCCTCCAGATGCGACTGGAGGTCGCCGACCGAAAGACAAAGATACAAATGGAGCCCTAGTAATGAGACAAAGGAAGGCATCAGCATTTAAAGGGCAAACAACGGTTGGGACTTGTCCAGTCCACTCTGATGGAACCTCCGTGCAAGTAACGGGGTGACCTTGAATCCTGAAGAACATCTGACGCTTGCCAGCGTGGTGCAGGTTACTCACCAGTCCGTACACCTCTGCTTTGATCCTATAGTGACGCACTTGCTTGCCCTCTTGCTACAGTGCATCGTGACTTCACATGCCACCGGCCCCGAAAACTTGCCCTGAGGTCGCCTGGTACTGTCGGATTTTCTCACTCAAGTAGGTGGCACAAAGTGCCGAGTAGTCCAGGCGCGTGACCATGGAGGTTAGGCCAGCTTTGAAGTCTTGCAGATCAAATGCTGGATACTTCTTGTCCTCGGGCCACACCCCTTGGCAAATTGAAGCCAACTAAAATGTCATTTGCTTAAACCATGCCAACATGTAGTCTTCGGATGCCACGCGTGCAATGAAAGGCCTGCGGCTCTGCTAACTATTCGCAGCTGGAGTTCCAGAAAATAGTACCGTTTACAAACTGTGTACGTATGTGATCACCACCCTTTATATATACACAAAACAACAAAAACTGAAGCACAGCATCTGCATGCAACAACAAATCATACAAATATCAAACAAACACAAAAAACAGGACTTATGCAGTTAAAGCTCCGTTAAACACAAACATGATGCAAACATATCCCAACCTCCCCTCCCCCAAACAAATAGACTATACAAAAGGACATACATACAAGGAAACAACTTTCTAAGCAAGCTCATCTGGATCATGGTCGGTCTGCGAGTTCTTGAGTGTCCGCACCGCCTGAGATGCTGGGATGTTCTCTACGATCTCCCGCAAATAGAAGGGCGTGATGCGGCGCTGGCTGTTCAGCAAAGCTGCCTGAGAGGGGCCAAGCGCTCCTCGACTTTCAGGGCCCTTGAGAACAACAAGCAACCAAAGCTGATGCGGAACATGAGCTCTACACGGTACACGTGGTTCTGGGTGGCCAGGAATGGTATGGATCAAACAAATACATATGCAGATTCAAACCCATGGCAAGGTCAGCCGTTCAGCGCCACTGTGGCCACTCACTCCTCAGGGCGTCCCTGACGCTTGATTCGTCAATTTTTTGGCATCAAGTTAACAGCTACCAGGATGACCTGCCAAGCATATGTATGTAGGGTTACGATGCACGTGCTAAGTGCTGGATACATTCCACGTCCAAGTGAACGTGCTTGATCTAAAGCATCTGGATCCCGGTCCTGTTCAGGCTGCTCAGGTAATTAGTACGAGTAATTGACAGGGGACAGAATAAGATCGCGCAAACCAGGTCAAGAAACATAAAGCGCGTGTGTGGTGCACACGAATCTCAAGATCCCTGGTCATGGTCACAGAAGCATGGCAGGTCCCTATTCTCTGGCCAGCCGTAAAACAACACCAACCCGACAACTGACACGCACCTCGTTATGCTGATGCTCCTTGAGTAAGGCATCCCAAATATCTGACAACTTCACCCGCTCTTTCCGCTTCGTCTGCTGCGCTCGTCGAAGGATGTTTCGAGTCTGCTGAAACCTTGGCTCTCCCAAGTCTCAGGCGCCCTGAATCGCGCTTCGAGCGCCGAATCGCAAGGAATCATGCATTTGCCATGCACCGATTGTGCTCGGGAGCGTTGGGCAAAAACTATATAATACTGTATACTGTATATATATACTACTCTGTCATACTTTGTCCGCCTACAAGCCACATTGTCGCAACGGGGGCCTCTGCCGATCCAACAGTACTGCACCCCAAGTTGCTGGGGATCACTGGGGATCGGGACAATGGTGGTCAGCGTGGAGGGAACAGCCCAACAAAACGCTTCCCACCAGGGGGAACTTCGGCCCAACTGACGGCTGCGATTAGTCATGCCAAGGCAAGCCGTTGCACTCTTGCCTAGTTCTGGATATCAACGTCTGTCCAGCAAGTGGCTGCAGAACTCCAAAGGCTACCTGGCTCCTTGATTGAAAAAAGCACCTACCTGCTGCATGGCATTCCAACAGTTCTGCGACTCTACCACAGCCAGGCAACAAGGAGTCGGCATTCTTTGCATCGTCTTTGACCACGCCATAGGCCTCCATGAGGATGGCGACCAGCATGTTCAACAAGACCATGACCATGACCTCAAAAAACGACTGAGGACAAAAAGCACGACATGTTCAAGTCATGAGGCCTTCAACATTGAGAGATGTGGTGGGCTCTTGAAATTGTGCAAATATTACCCACTCGAACAACTATGAATATACTGATTGTGTTTATAGGAATGTTACATGACTCTATGGCCTGAGGCTCAAGGGTTCAAACAGTCACATGTTCAGCCTCCTTCATCTAGAAATCTCTGTGACGTTCTGTGACCATCCTTGTTCTAGAATCATTAGTGTCCATGTCCTGCTGTAAAGGCCCGACGGGCTTACAACTCCAGGAGCGCCGAGCAAGGAGTTGTTCAAACGCTGCTGTCAAAGTCAAAATGTCCAAACACCGGCGTAGCACTACGAACACACACACACACACACTAAAACTCTGAGCTTCACTCGGAGTTTGGCCCGTTTTTGTCCGCGTCAATCCGATCATAGACCTTCCTCTGGCAAGTGGCCAACATGAAGGAGAAGAACCAAGCGAAGGCCTTGTGGATCCCAATTCGCCCCATGGCCTCCCAATCCCAATCTCCCAGCATCGCGCGGAAACCTTGGATCCGCAGCCATCGGCTCCGGCAAACTCAACAACTATGGAGCCGCCCGGCACATCAAAAAGGATATGAAAACCCGGTGGCTGCGGAGCCCCTTCACTCTAAAATGTGTCCTTGTGAGCAAAAATAAACATCATGAGGATGAACGTCTTCCAAGATAAATAGGGAACCCAACACCTGACAGTACTCCATGGTTAAGGAAAATATAAACTAGTCCTTCGTGGGTTCTATTTCAAAATCTGCATCGATGCTTTATGTTACTTCCCTGCTCTTGGGAGAACGCATCGAAAGGATACAAGTTCCAAGCTAATAATTTGATCAGAAGCAAGCATGCAGCGCTCGGTCAATGGTGGCGAAG